ATCGCAGTGTCAGCCTCCGCCCCTCTTTGTCCTTTGTCCGCCGGCCACTCCCTATTATGTCAATGTAAAAGGCTGACTATGTGCTCCCCCCACCCCCCCCAACCCCAAAGGTTACAGCAGTACCCCAAAGGTTACAGCAGTACACCCACCGCTGGCTGCAATAGAACAGCCACTAAGAGCGCTGTGCATTCAGGAGCGCTCGCCACATTAAGCAAGTGCTCCTGCTGAAGGCGTTCTCTTTTTGCTCCTTCTTTTTTTTTCTCTCGCGTGAGAATGCTGGCACATTCAACAGCCAGCAAAAGCATCAACTGTACCACGGGGTCACTGCCCTTCCTCTACTACAATAGTTTTCTTTTTTTTTGTTAAAGTGTGTGATTTTCAAAAATTGCACAGCCATGTGCGATTTCTCTGCTCCTACTCAACAGGCAGCATGTTCTGGCGCTATTTTCGCCTCTCGAAAACGTACATTGAACCGAGTTGAATCTTGCCACCATCGCTAAAAAAAATTTTTTTTTAAAAGAAGAAGAAGAGTCTTTTTTACTATGTGGCCAGACAACTTCGCTCAAGTGGCCAGACAAAGCAGTGAATGCGCGGGGCAAAACTCGATTTCCGGGAGATTTTCCTATAACCCGTACAACCGGAAAAAAACATTCAAAATCCGGGAGTCTCCCGGGTAATCCGGGGGACTTGGCATGTATGAAATAGGCAAACATATTTATCAGACGCACTCTGAATGTTCTGAGCACGTGTGGTAACTGTGAAAAAAAAATATGTACTGGCCAAAATAAACCTCCTGAGACCGGCAGTGAGCAAGTCGGCTGTTTGATGTTCTTTGGAAGAACCACGAAGCAAACACACTGCTTAAAAGTAACCACAGATGAAAGTTTGAAGGAGCCTGAAATAGTCCAACATCGCAGTCAAGTATGCTAGTGATGCCATCTCGCAACATCCGTGCAAAATGAGGACACGGAAGCCTGACCGGTTCTGCCACTCGAGTATAATTTAGTCTCCTATCATGGGTATAGCCCACGCCGCTTAGGATGCGGATTGAATTGAATTGAATTGAATTAGATCGACCTGAACTGCTGCATTTACTGACTCAACTATTTAGAATGTGGATTGGATTAGATCTGATTAGACCTGGATTGCTGCATTTACTATTGACTTGCCTCCCGCCTAATTTACAAGAACAGAGCCACACTGCAAAATTTTCCTTCTTTCTTTTTTCGATGAGCACATGCATGTTTGTATTTTCTGTCTCTCGGCTCTGACGCTTTAAGTGCAACGAAAATCCTCAGACAGCTGCGACGAAAGCTGGGTACAGTGTTTAAAATGCCGATGTTTGAATATGTGGTAGCAAGAAGGAATCTGTGAAGGTGCAACAGCTACGATGATACCACAGATGAATCACAGATATCAGCTTGTTACTATAATTTACATACTCTTCTGTGGACGTCATGCTAAGAAATAATTGCACATATATTTACACAATCTCACGAAACTGAAATGACAAATTTACCTGAGGTTACACAAGTGCTACCCTTGAAACATGAGCTACCAGCAATAAGTGTGAAGCTGAAGATATTTGCTGTTGCATCACTAATAATAATAATAATAATAATAATAATAATAATAATAATAATAATAATAATAATAATAATATATTATTATTATTATTAACAATAATAATAATAAAAGGCATGAGTAGCCCAGCAAGCTTCCGCTGATGACAGTTCTAGCCTAGACAAACCAGACAGCTTTCAAGCCGAGCCAAAATCATGGCCTAGACAAACATGCATGAGTTTACAGACGTGACTAATGTTGTGGTTCAAAAGTCAGATATGCCGCGCAGTATGCAGAAGCAACACGCATCAAAATAGTGCATGTACCAACATGGAACCTAAGGAATTCTTTGGCCAATGTGAAAGACAAGTTGCCGAGCAGCGATTTCCTTGGTCTTGTTTATGCCATAGGCTGCCACAATTCTGACAACCAGTACTTGGGTGAAACTGGCGATCTAAGAAAACAGTTAAACAACATAAATATGCCAAGAAACAATGCGTGGCCTCGACTTCCCTTACTGAACATGCGGAATCTACATACCACCAAATCGAATAGTCAAACACGTGTGTTCTGGACAATGCAAAAACCCGCATGTTCCCATGGGGAGGGGAGGGGGACTCGAATAAATGCATTATAAAGTGGTGGGGTATCACGTGAATGTCGCATAATTAGGTATGGTTTGTAAATGCTTAATTGCTATTTCGTCTTTAATATTCATATTCATTGAATGAAGGAGAACCATTGCTTCAATGAGTGGTGGGACACTGATGTTGGGTTGTGCCCCACTACTCATTGAAGGTACTGTTGCTTCCATTGCATCTACTCGAGTCAAGCAAAGCGTCAAGTCAAGCGAAAGCCAAGTAAAGACGCTCTAGACTGAATTTTGAATGCCCAACTTAGTGCCTATATATATGAGGTGGTCAGTGAACAGTTGTACAGCGCGAGCAGTCAGATTTTACTAGGAGACGCTGCCTGCGTCAGCCTTGCAAGGCGAGAGAAGGGGAGGGAGTGACAGTTGGCACGAGGCGCGAGCATGTGGCACAAGATGCGAAATGCAAGCATGTGCAGTAGTGTGTAGACACCACCTGCCAACACCAAATTTGCGAGTAGGTTTGACTATAAAATGCTCCACATTTAAAATAAGCGTGTGTCATGCCTGCACCTGGAATACAGATATAGATGACTGTACATATGCTGAACAGGAGTGATGGAACACTTCTGACAATGTACTCTGGCTGCTTACGTTCCGTATTTAGGCATACTTAGGTAGGCTGTGCCCTTTTTATGGCTTTTATTGTGAACAAGGCTCCCTCCCATATCAAGTACCGAAACGTCAGTAAACTTTGTGCTGCATGGGTCCGTGTATCCTTTCGCGTTTACATTAAAAAAGCAACAGTGCTCCACTGCTGTTTTTTTTTCTTCACACCTCTTCTAGCAACTCACTGCAGTTACAGCTGGAAGAGAGACATTGTAAGTTTTGATCAATGATAATGCTTATTTTTGTGATGGCTGCACAGAGCTGCTGTCAGTTTCCAAGACCTGAAAAGTCAGAAATTCCCTGACTTTTCCAGAAGAGTCCTGATTCCCTGACTTTTCCAGGTTTTCCAGATTGGTAGACACCCTGAAACACTTGCAAGGAATTTATTGCCAATTGTTCATGCAGTGGTTGACGACAATGATGAATTATGCCTGAAGTGGGTATGCGCCACAGTTAATAGGTGATCAAGAACAAGCTTTTGTAATGGGTTGGAGTATTGCGACGACCCACTCGTTACGCTATTTGCAATGTGTGACGTCTGGTTGTTCCTTTGCTATTCTAAAGCGCTTTATTTCTCATATTAACAAGATTCCTTTCCAAACATCAAGCCTGCCTAAGGCAACTTTGTGAACAAACCCCAAGCACTGGCGTGGCTCAGTGGTAGAATAGTGGGCTGGCACGCAGCGGACCTGGGTTCGAATCTCATTGTGCCCTTGGTGTTTTTTATTTACCAAGTTTTTTTTTCTTATTTCTTGCGATACTGGGTACGGACATTGGCAACAGTGGCAAACAGCTACGACGCCGCGTGTGACCAGTGTTCTGATCTTATAACAGCTTTCGTTGTAAAAAGGTTTGGTAACTTAAGTGCACGTTTTGATGGGTGGTCCTTCATACAAGGGAGAACTAATATAACGACCATTTTTCACAACACTTTCGGGTTTGTTATAACTGGATTTAACTGTATTTGGGCTGTAAGTATTAACAACCTTCCCTGTAATTATGAGCACCTAATACATCACAAAAGAGCATAAATTTCGATTATAATGAGCAGCAGTAGCTGCTGCTCATTATTGCTGCTCATAAATGGGTTGGACTGTGTTTGAGCTGTACGTATTATTAACCACCTTTCATGTAATTATGAGCACCTGATACTGGGCTTGTGTGAATAGTGAATTTTGGGTTCGAAGCAAATCCAAAGCGAATAGTGATTTTGGTCAAATAATTTCTAATCGAATTCAAATAGTGTATACATGACATATTGTAAGTAAAAAGCGGCATATTTGATTTATCATGACCAAACCAAGCTGCACAATATTTTTTATAAGTTGTAGCAAGGCCTGTGCAAATGCCATCTTTTTTTGTGTTAAAGCAGATGGAAACAACTTTGAACAGTAGCAGGATTTTAATTTTCGTAGAATGCAAGATAGCCTGCGAAATATGTTAGGTTTTGTAATCTGCTATACTTATAGCGTATAGGTTGATATAGCAAGTTTTTAAACTGGAAAAAAAAAATGAAGTTACGTGAGGGTAATATCTAGATTTAACCTTGAAATAAGGTTTTGCGACAGTGTGAATTTCATCCATTTATGCGTTTTCGCTGCTCAGCGCCACTTCACAACAGTGAAACCCCTTTTACGAAATGCTACATTCAAGCTGATATACACTTGGAAATATGCTTTAATGGCTTAGCACCCCTGCACTGCGGTGAAACCACCCTTATAGGGTGTACTTGCAGATTAATGTGCATTTATTCATTTGCCTGGAAGACTTCGAAATTTTCTATAATTTCAGTTCAACTAAAAGCGAATTCGAATACTAAGTTTATTCGTTCAAGTATTCAAAGCATTCGAATATTCGCGCAAGCCTGCCTAATACATCACAAAAGTATATCCATTCGGGTGATAATGAGCAGCAGTAGCTGCTGCGCCTGCTAAACAAGTTTCGAAACAAGCAAAACTTTGAGCAAGCACCATTTCTGCACCATTCAACCGATCGGCACAGCCTTGGTTCATGAATTCTAGCAAATTTCGTGCATTTATGCAATCCAGCACAATAAACAGCGAACTCGTTCTTTTCTCCTTACTGCTTTCTCACAAAATTGGTATAGCACTGAATTTATTCTTTATGGAATACAATACTCAAAAATTGATACTACAATGTCCACAAACTCACTGCTTACCCGACATGATCAGCTGCACTCTGTTCAAGGAGACGAAGCCGTTTTCTGTTAAGTAGCCCTAGAAAACACAAAAAAAAAGCAGACTGATATTGTAATGTTTGCAAGCCTAACATTACCCTCCATGCAAACTGCTAATGTACTTTTTCAGAGTATATAAGCAGCTAATGCACTATAAAAACATGAGGAAAGAGACAAAAGACTATGTCACAATGAAAAAAAAACTAGGTGCAAGTTCATTACTATTACAGAAAAAGGACTCCATGATGCACTGATGGTATATGTTGAAGGCTGTCTGTGGTGTGGGCACGAGACAGCCGGCATGGCGCATATACTTTGGGAGTGCCAGTGCGGTGTTCGCCGCCACTACTCGAACGAGCGTGTGTGGGACGACTGGCTTTAAAGACTATGTCACAATGAAAAAAAAACTAGGTGCAAGTTCATTACTATTACAGAAAAAGGACTCCATGATGCACTGATGGTATATGTTGAAGGCTGTCTGTGGTGTGGGCACGAGACAGCCGGCATGGCGCATATACTTTGGGAGTGCCAGTGCGGTGTTCGCCGCCACTACTCGAACGAGCATGTGTGGGACGACTGGCTGAGCGGTGGCGAGCCACCCTTCTCAGCCAACGCGCAGTGGACCAAATCTGGGCTGTCCAGCGAGCCAGGGCTATCGCAGAGGACATCGCATGATGCTCCGCGGACGACGGCTCCTGGAGGCCAAGCCCGGGTCAGTGATTCCTTGTTGCATCCTAATAAAGTTTATTACCTGCCTATAAAGGCCGAGAACGAAATCTGTCTAGAGCCAAGAATATGACAACAAATTAGATTCACAGTTTTTACACAAACAAAACCTGCAAAAACTTCAAGAAAGTGATATTCAAGCTTCCAGCTAGGATTACCGTAATTGCTCGAATCTAACGGGCACCTTTTTTCCGGTTAAGCGAGTTCATAAATCGCATGCGCGTTAGAATCGAGTACGAAAAAAAAAAAATACGTTTAATCTATTGCCATCGGCGAATCCAAAATGGCCGCCTCCTACGTGCGTCGGCATGGCGCGTCAGCCATTTCTGCCTATGTGTTTCCCATGTGCGGCACTTCGTACGTGCGCTGAGGAGTTCGTCATCTAGTAGTGCATTAGCATCGACGGCGTGAAAGGGCCGACTCCAAAAACTCGAGTGCACCACGATGCCGCTTTAGAAGAAAAGCCATCGCGTGTGCGGAAACGGACGGAAATCGGGCCGCATCGCGGTCGTTCGGAGTTCCCGAAATGTGTGTGCGGGATCGGTGGAAACAAACGCAGAAGATTGTCGACAGCAAAGCTTCACGCAAAGGCTTCAGTGGACCACAGCAGGGTCGGTTTCCGCAAATTAAAGACCTGCTCGGCGAGTATGTGCTTGAGCGGCAGAGTGGCCCGTGACGACAGAACTGCTCCAAGTGCGGGCTATGCCATTAGTCTTAGAAAAAGCTCTAATGTGGAGCCAGTTTAAAGCGAGCAGGTCCTGGCTAATGCCCCGGACACACGGGCACCCTGAAGTCCTTTAGACAAGGGGACATCTTTCGAAAAGGCGTTCGGGCGCAGTGACACACGACAAAGGAGTAATGCCCCTGACACGCGGGCACCCTGAAGTCCTTTAGACAAGGGGACATCTTTCGGAAAGGCGTTCGGGCGCAGTGACACACGACAAAGGAGTAACTCCTTTCTGGCAAAGATCCTTTTCGCAAAAGCAGATCCCGCATCTACTTTTCTCGCATACAGTGTGCATAATTTATCGATAGAAGAAAACGTGTCGCAACACTGCGGCGCCCTGTCAGTATTTTTTTGCGCCGAGAAAATGTTTTCATTTTCAGCAGCAGTGCGATTTGTTGAAAAGTGAAGGCCTATAGTCTGTCCATACTCTCAAACGCCTGCATTACGTCACTAGGGCGATCATGTTAGGGTTGGCAGCGGCAGTTGCTGTGTCGGTGACGTAGCATCTTGTAACAGTGCAGTCGGCTCAGTCGGTGAAGAAAAAATTGCGCGTCCAGTGGACTGAAAAGGAGACCTGGGCGCTGATAAAGCTATGAAAGGACCATTTGGACGCCTTGCGAGGGCAAAAGCACAACGGTGGAGTGTACCAGGCGATTGCCGAGAGCCTCACCGACGCCGGTATTCCCCGTACATGGGCGCAAATTCACAGCAAAATTGCCTTCGCAGCGTTTAGCTCATCTTCGATGGAGCCGACGGCGACAAGAGTCAGGCCCACCTCAACTGTTGCTTTACCTCTGTCTCTGCGCTGAGACATCGCAGGACCACGATAAACGCGGCACGCCGTCACTGACCCAGCTGGACGCAGCCATGTAAAAAGCACGACAAAAAACAAAAACAGCAAAACAACGACTGTTCATGGTTGCCAGACGAACTTAGGTTGCTGCTAAAAACACAAAAAAGCGAAAGAAAATTACAGGTATGCGCATTATAAGCCACCAGACAATAAAAAGAAAAACGGTTTTATTTTCTGGCGTCGCTGATTGTGATGTACATGCGCAGATTCTTTTTAATATTTCCAATCTTGCTGCTTCTACACACAGCGCCATTTTTTCTGCAGCGTTCTTCTGAGGCACCGCCTACAGCAGTAGTCCGGTGCCATGTGTCATCAGCGCCACTCCTTTCTGCAAATGGTCCCCTTAGGCGACAAAAGGGGTTTACTTCAAAGTACTTTACTTTTGCCCGTGTGTCACGGGTATAACTAACTTTATGAACAGGAAAGGCTTTTCCCTCCGAAGGGGAACATGCATATGCAAAAAGTTTTGCGGAGGAGTACGATGAAAAGCTTCACAGTTTTCAGAGGTTCGTCCTAAACTTGCGGCGCAACAACGGCTACCTGCTTGGGCAAATCGGGAATGCCGATCAGACGCCTCTTTACTTCGACATGCCTGGCACCACAACCGTCGAGAAGAAGGGGGCGAAGCAAGTTCACGTGCTGACATTGGTCCACGGTAAAACTACAGTGACGGCAATGCTCTGTTACACGTCAGATGGGCACAAGCTTCGCCCGTACCTCATATTTAAATGGAACACGCTCCCCAAAGGAGTCGTTTTTTCGAGTGGTGTGATCGTGCGGGCCAGCGAGAAAAATGGGTGCGCGTTGCAATCGATGTCTTATGTTTTTTTTTTTTTTTCCGCAGTGGAAATCGGGTGCGCGTTACAATCGAGGGCGCGGTAGAATCGAGTAAATACGGTAGTGCTAGCACCTTTTGACAGATTGACTGCCTTGCCAAAATAAATACCAATTGAAAAAATGAATACAGTAATACCTCGGTGACTTGAAGTCGTAAAAACCAGAGAAAGTTTCGAGATAAACAGATTTTTGAGATAAGCAAAGCTGCACTAATCACTGGGAAAAACTAGCGCTTTTTAGAAAAATCACTACTACTACCTGCATCTTTAGCGGCAGTTTCTAATCTTTCTTCTCATGAAGGTTTAAAAGAGAAAAAAAAATAACATACAAGAGACTTTAACCGGCTATGTTTTATCGCACTGCATTTCTCTGCGTTTTGCAGAGAAAAACAGCCTAATGCTTGTCTGCTTTGCGGTCACACTCCAGCCTAGGAAGGCATCCTCCAGCTGCTTGACGCATTGCATCAGTCCGGGTTCCCCACCACAGCACTTGACCTATTTTCAAGCAAGCGCAGCAAATTTCTCGTCTCGGAAGATGTCAGCACCTCTCGAGGTGGTTTGTAATCGCCGTCGTCTCCGCCATCCCTCCCGTTATTGGCCATTTGACTGATTTCGGCGTAAGTCATTTCGCCAGTCACCGCCACATCCTGCTCACACAGCGCCTACTCCAGAAAAGTCGCATCACTTTTGGCGGCACCATTACCTGTAAGCTGGTCACCTCCTGACAATGTTCCTCACAGTCTGTGCTTTTGTCATCTGTCTCTGCTTTTGTCAAACTGGCGGCATGTAAAAACCCAGCCTGAATTTTCTGCTAAGCGTTGCTGAAGTCCTTTAGACAAAGGCTGAAGTCCTTTAGACAAATTGACCTGCTCCCAGCAGGTCAATTTCACAGCCTTTGCCGTTTTCATAAAACAACAAAATTCTGTGGAGAAGGCTCTCTCGGTAAATTTTCTTGGGCCGCATCGATGACACCTTGGTCCATCGGTTACAGCATAGACGTCCTATTTGCAGGCAGAAACTCGACTGAAATTGCCTCTGAATCCTCTACTTTGCCGTAGCCTGGGCAGTTGTCAACAATGAACAGGACTTTTCTGTTTTTCTTGGCTATTTTGTTATCAATAGCGCGAACATACTCCTCGAAAAGAGTAGCAGTCATCCACGCTGCTCTATTCGCACGGTAGATAATGCCATTCGGCAGTCGTGCATTTCTAAAGCACCTAGGCTTAAGAGCTTTGCCAGTTATCAGTAATGGCAGCTTCTCTTCACCTGTGGCATTTGCCCTAAAAAGGACAGCGACTCTGTTCTTCTGATGTTTCACTCCTGAGCATATTCCACCCTTCACCGTGAAGGTGCACCTCGGTACATTTTATAGAGAACTCCTGCCTCATCAATGTTGAAAATGTTGCTGTCGGTGTAACTCTCTCACAACTCAGCGAACCGGCTGCTGCACCAATCGTTAGCAGTGGCTACATCGACAGTGCCGCTGTTGCAATGCACTGACTTGGACACCACACTGTTCCTTTCTTTGAAGCAGTCAAACCAGCCGCTGCTGAAACTGAAGTCTGTATGCCCCATTTGCAAGGCCAGAGCGTTTGCCGTCTCTGTCCTTATCACTGTTGTGACGGGAAGGTTAGCTGCTCTGGCGTTTCGCAGCCATACCATCAACGCCACTTCAACGTCTGGGAACTTCAACCCTCAAACCCACTTCCGCTGGCTGAAGAAGCTCTCTTGAAATCCATCCAGCGCCTTTTCCTTGTTTTTCAGCACCGTCGAAAGCGTATACAAAGGAACGCCGAATTACTGCGCGATGCTCGATTTCGCTCAGTCTCCGTTCTCCCCATTCTTAATTAGGGCAACCTCTTTTTTTTTTTTTCTAGCATTAAGCTATTGCATTGCTTGCTCTGCTTGCCGCACTCATGCTTGGAGGCGGAAATGCTGTAGGCCCTTGTGCTCAGATTTGGGTGCACGTTGAAGAACCCCAGGGGGTCGCAATTTTTGGAGCCCTTCACTACGGCGTCTCTCATAATCATATGGGGGTTTTGGAACGTTAAACCCCACATATCAACCTAATCATCAGTAAGTTTCCGCTTCTCACAGTCAGCGAAAAATCCAAACCACTTTGTTTGCGCAGATGAACAAAAATCACACCTCAGCGAAAATCATGTGCACTGCACAAAGCAAATGAGACAAACTACGCCAAGCGTGGGCAGAGGGCCTCCCTGCTCAGCGCATGTGTCACATCACAGGGTTGCTTGACAAAGTTGGTATGTCACTGAGCTGAGACTTCTCATTCACAGAAAGCATCGACGTAGTGGTAGGCGTGGCTAAATAAGCAACAAAACTGACCGACTTCAAGCGTGGCAACATCGCACAAATCTTCTGAATTAATTTGGCAGTAGAATTTTCGTTCCATTCCCAGTCAAGAATTTCAGTTATTCAATATCCGACCCAAAGATACTTCCGACATAAAAGGTAAAATATACACGGGACTTATAGGATATTGTTCGGTGCTGCGGAAAATTTCGACATAGGCGATTTTTCAATATGCGAACTTGATAACCAGATACTGCATTTACTCGTGTAATGAACCCAGTTTTTTTTTTCTCGAAAAATCGGAAGTTAGGGGGTGCGTTTATTATGGTGCGTAAATTTAACGATAATATTTTTGGGAGAAGGAAAAAATGCGGTAAAACAAAAAAATAAGTTAGGTCACTTAGCCTTTCGCAATTCACATACACGTACACTGTTTGGAAACAGCTTCTTTGTTGCACTTTACTCATCTTCAGGAGTTGATGGCGCGATCTCCTGCAAGCTGTCTCCGGGACGCCATAAATACGCTCAGCGACTATCTTCTCTCGCAATCGTTTAACAGCAACAGTGGTATATGCTGTGATCTCGAGGGGCGCCCAGAAACTGTGCACTTACAGGGGAACGGGTAATAAAGGGACAGTTAGAGTGAAGAAAAAAGAAAGTAGACAAAAAAAGAAGAGGGGGGAGGGGTCGCAGGTCGCTTGAATTGCAATAGGCATGCAGCAATGGGCGGGGGAGCGAGCCGAGGTGGTTGAGGGGGGTCGCAAAAGTAATAAAAAAACGGAAGAGAGCCAACAGGGTGAGAAGGCGCCAGGTTTCGGTTAGGGGGACTGCAGCGGATGAATCTAGGGGATGATGCGTTCATTACACATAGAAAGAAAAGCAATACGGCACGCGGCAACGAGCAAATGAGGGGAGGGAGAGAGCCGAGGTGGTTGAGGGGGGGGGGGGGGCAAAGTCATCAAAAACAAAGAGATCCAACGGGTGAGGAGGCACCTGGTGTCAGACTGCAGCGAATGAATTTAGGAGATGCGTTTATTACGCGGGGAGAAAAAATTCAAATTTTGATGACTGAAGTTGGAGATGCGTTTATTATGCTAGTGCGTTCATTACGCGAGTATATAAGGTATTACTATACACACACACACACACCCAAAAAAATAGCAAAACAATTTCTTACCCCAGTTCTGTACACAGCTTTCTTGTACAAGTTGACCAGTCTGTCAATGGCACCTTCTCTGTGAAAGAGAGTTAAGTGCAATGCTCCTTAAAAACTTGAGACGCGAAGCCCACGTGTGGAGAGAGAGCGCATGGTCACGTACAATGAAATCACCAAGCACCACAGATTAGGGAGGCAGTATTACCCTCCACCATATTCCTCATTAAATAATGGCACCCATTACAAACAAGCCGATTGCTGAACCCAACTGCCTATAGTCATTGCAATCCAGACCTCTACTCCAACAAATGTCAACTTGGAAATCAGCGTGTGGACCTCCAACACACTATATAGGCTTGTCCCAACCTCATGAAGGGTCCAAACAGCTAATATCTGAATGCACAGCAGAGGAAGACCGCACTGCTTAGCTCAAACAACCGGGACCGGTTACAAAAGATCAGGCAAGCCGAAAATGCCACTAGAGCCCAAGAAACCCTAGCTGCCATCTAAAAGAGAGGATATACCTCCTCTTACACTAGCTGTTTTGATTAAAGTCGCTTATCGCACAAAGTCGGCATGGGTAAAACAGCAAGGTGGCAGTCTGGGCACTTCAGTGGTACATTTTCACGAGTTGTAAAAGTGCACTCGAGACAATCACACAACAAAGGAACACGCATGGACACATTTAGCGCTATGTGTGTGCATGTACACAACAGCACAGTGCCGAAGAAATCAGCGAAGCTGTGGCGCCAATTGTTTTTAGAGAAGTCGTCAGGAGCTTCGAAAGCGATCGCTTTCAAACTTAAGCGATATGAAATTCCAACCGTGAAAACCACCGCTCACTCTAAGCTACAGCTGCATAAAAATGCACCTTCAGAACTCCAGCCAGCTCTCAACAGTGCAGTCGTACGAGTGGTGATGCAAACGGCACGAGACGACGGCGTGACCAGGAAATCCTGCAACCCCCCTGCAGAAGCATGTGACTTCCGCCACATTTTTCGCCATGCAGCTGAGATTGCGAGGGCCTCTCCTCAGCTTTTCTTCCCCCACATATGCGGTCGTGACTGATGTGACCACGTAAATTACAAGAACCCTCATGTAAAAAATTATCTCTTCATTCAATGGTTTACTATATCACAATACCAGAAGCACCATAATTTACACACAATGAAGTCGCCGAGCGTTCATTCGGACGCCAAAAATTCGTACATGCCCGTTTACTCGGACATCTTCATGGCACTGCCACTCTCCCCATTTATCCTAATGTAAACTCACGACCGAACATTTGGATGCCCCACTGTGTGCCATTCGATTATTCGGACTTCGTTCGACTGACCGGATGCATTGCCGTACGCCATTACACGCTGACAGCGACATTAACAATACGTTTGCTAGGTTGCCAGCACTGATATGCTGCATTAGTTATGGATAGATGTCGGGCCAGTGTCAAAATTCACGCAGAAATCGCGATTGCCGGTCTCGAAGGCTATGTGTGGCGACACTTTTTTATTTTTAAGCCAGCCGAGCGGCCAAGTCATGCCACCTACAGAGTCTGTTCGCTGTGGCGTTTGGTGTGTGTCATCAGTGTCCGTCAGCTGCTTCTGCAGCTAGGCCTGGTTCGTCTTGTTCTCTGTGTTCTCGCTCTCTTTAGTGTTCCGTGGCATGCTGAAATGGCTCCGACGCCACCCACTTCTGTGCCATCGGGAGTGAATAGACGCGGCCAATGCGGAAGCTACAAGACGCTCATGATGACGAAGAAAGCGGAGATGATTCGCCAGGTAGAAGGCGGCCGACCTCAGTCTGAAGTGGCTTGAGAATTTTCTATTTCAAAGCAAACCGTCTCGGAAGCGTGCGTGTGTGCAGACAGGACAGTTTTTTCGGGCGATAGGGCTTATAAAAGTGCTCTTTTTTCGAGTGAATCCATTTTTTCAGACTCCCCATTATTCGGACTTTAAGGCGGTTCTCGTTCAAGTCCAAATAAACGGTCGGCGACTGTACTAAAAGGCACTGTACTACAACTTTTTGCAGGCAAGAATGCATGCAAAAAGAAAATAAAGGTGGCAATGCGCTCTTGAAGGTTGCACAAGAACTTGCTGCGACATTAATTTTGACGATATCTTCTAATGCTTACATAATTCTTTAAAAACAAAAATAAATGTACTTATACTCCATGAAATAATTTTTAATAGAAGGTGTTAGGACAAAAAAATTGGCCCGAATCTACATGTTACACTGTAAATGTCGTCGAAAGACGGTAGTCTTGCGTTTGGAGAGAGTGAACAAAACGTTTATTTCATGTTCTGCGCAAGAAAATCAGTGAATGGTATTCTAAAGGCGCTGCGTTAGAGTGCCTCAAGCATGTAGTGGAGGCGAACAAGCGCATCCAGGCACGTTAGGCACAAGTGCCATCTAGCAGTTATCTTCGAAAACGAACGCGTGCGAGACTGCGGAGAAAGATGCGCGCCGGTCACGTGCCACCACCGTGCCCTCGTAGCAAAGCGTTGCAAACCCCTTCTTGAGCATCACGTTGCACTGTCAGCGCAGCGCGTTAAACGCTACAGTCCTTAGAGTTACTTGTGTGTGCCTCTTCTAGTATAAAGGCAGACATACAAATCATAGACATGTTGTTATGGCGCCTGAGATATGCGCAATATTTGCTTTTTATTTAATTGACAATCGCACAACGATGAACGCTAATCCTTGAGCAATATTGGTGGGCACTGCGGATGGGGTGGGCCGTTTGAGGAATCGTTAAGGGGGACAAACAGACAAATGTACAGACAGACAGACCGACAGAGAGAGAGAGAGAGAGGAAACTTTATTAGAACTTGGCCGGCAGCTTGGTCTTGGTGGCCTCAGATGGCGGCGCTGAGTCCCTGAACTCGGGCGGCATCTTCGGCCTGCCGGACAGCCCAGAGCTGGTCATTGAGCTCCGAGCTTCTGAGCGCCGCCTCCCAGCGGCGGCGTCGCCGACGGAGAAGGTCCCCCGCGGCTCCCGCAGACGGGACGGCGGCGGGAACGAGTGAGCTCGAGGCTTCCTGTTGCCTGGTATTGGCAGCCGCCATAGGCGCATCGCGAACGGCGGCCGTTTCTCGACCATTGTTATCGGCGCATTCCCAGAGCATGTGGCGCAGCGTTGCTCTGTGCCCGCATGCTTTACATAGATCGGTAATGTGTAAGTGCGGGTAGCAGTGGCGTAAGACGACCGGGCTGGGGTAAGAGTGGGTTTGTAGTAAGCGATAGCTTACGGCATCGTGTCTGTTTAATTTGTCATGCGGTGGCGGGAACTTTCGCCTTTCCAGTCTGTAGTGTTGCGTAATATCTCGGAACGTGATGAGACGATCACCCCACGACCATTGTGGTCTGTGTTGTCGCTGCGTGTCTGTCAAAGTGTCTCGATCCGGCAGATCAGAAGCCCCGTTCACGGGAGCGGAGGCGGCGGCCACGGAATGTGCCGCGGCTCGGCGAGTGAGACCTCGAGCCGCGACGTGGGCCGCCTCGTTGCCCGGAAGCGGGACATCGGTGTGTGCCGGGGTCCAAAGGAGGAAGACTGTTAAATTTTGTTGTGGCGATCGCGACGCTGAGTCACCATCACCGCACATCTTAAGGATGCGGGCCGCTTCCCGCGAGACGCGCGCGAAGCCGCGGATTGCTGCCTGCGAGTCGCTGATTACGATCTTAGCGTTCGGCACCGTGGCGATTGCTAGGGCTATCGCGGCTTCTTCGGCCGCCTCCGTATGTCCCGTGGTCACCGTGGCGCTCGCGAGGCATTTGCCCGCACGGTCAACGACTGCAGCGGCGTGTGCGTGTCTCCCGTCCCCAATCTCGCGGCATCTACGTACACAACTTCGTCGCTAGTGCCGTACTTCTTTTGAAGGTCACTAGCTCGCTGGTTACGGCGCCCGACGTGGTGCGTCGGGTGCATATTCTTAGGAAGCGGCGGAACAATTAGGCGGTCGCGAACCGAGGCAGGAACATCCGCTTTTTCTCCCTGCTGAGTGTGGTACCGGATGCCAAGTGACTTGAGGATGTGTCGACCCGTCTTAGACCCCGACAAGCGTTCGTTTTGCGAAACGACATGGGCCTCAATTAACTCGTCGAGTGAGTTGTGCAGTCCAAGTTCTAGTAACTTTTCAGTGCTCGCATTCAATGGAACTCCAATTGCTCTCTTGAAAGCCTTTCGTATTATACATTCGATCTTGTTTTTTTCTGAGCCTAGCAATTTGAGGTAGGGGGCAACGTATGTTATACGGCTTATTGCGTACGCCTGCACTAGACTGGATCGCGCAGTGTTCGCGCATACCAGTACGTCTGTTCGTGATACGACGTAGGAGTCGGATCGTGTCGTCTACCGAACGACGTAGTCTTCGCACCGTCTCACCATTATGGCCGTTTGCCTGCAGGTGTAACCCCAGAATTCTAATTTTGTCTACGTGTGGAATGGGAGTGCCATCTGCCAATAGAACGCTTATTTTGTAGCACTCCCTTTCCTCGTCGCGCGGGGTTTTGCTGACCTCTACTTGTAGGTTTGTAGATTAGAAGTTCCGACTTGGTTGCCGAGCCAGACCGACAGACCAAAATTTTTCCATCGAAGGTCCCCGAGAAAGACTACCGTCTTTAAAAGAAATCACTGCTACACTCGGTTACAACCTCAGACAAAATGTAAGGTCTGCTGCAGGCCATCACCCTAGCTCCCACAGAGGATTTGCGTGAAAGCATCATCCAATAGTACTCACTCATTTTCATTGCATTAAACGCTCCTTAACTGTTCGACGTCACTTAAGACACTTTTTAAGTGTTTAAAGTGATTCATGTTCCTTTGTGCACAGTGTTCTCAAATTACCAAACCTCCTCGACCCCAAATCCCCGAACCCTATTTTCTTACAATATTATTAGCGACAAATGAGGTATCAAGGAGTGAAGAAGAACTTACCTGATTTCTAAAGATGGAAGATGGGGAAGAAAGTCGTTGCCAACGAAGAAGCACATGAACACCCAGTCATCGATGGCTCTCTGCAAAAGCGAAGGGACAAGCACAGCAATGACGAGATGACTGCTAGATCGAGAACAGGTATTCGAAATATGCTACATGCACTAATTTTCTTTTAACTTCAGGTCTCGTTTGGAGCAACACATCGTCCAATGAATGCATACAATTTAGAAGAACTTGTTGCTGGGCTAGCTGGTACACAACCTCGACGAAAAAAATTTAGATACCTAAACATGACAAAGCACAGACTAAAGTTTTTTTTTTTTTCTCGTGGGCTTTAGGGTTCCACATTTTTTCTCTCGGTGACCACAGTAAAACATGAATGCAGTGAAACCGTAACTGCAGCTTAAAGTGGCCCTGAAACACTTTTTTCAAGTAACCACGAAATGAATTAGGCAGAAGAGCTTATTGCCTCATGAATTCAACGGCACAAAAATTTTAAGAATCCGTCCAGTACGAGCGGAGTTACCGGAGTTACAAAGATTGGTCACACGCTGCAATCGCATTCTCTCTTCTCTCGCCCCGACAAAAGCGCTGAAAGCTAAGCAGGGAGAGATGGCAGGAGGGAAACGTCACGCGTGCCCTGTGAGCTTGAGCACTTTATTCTTTTTCTTTTCTTCCAATGAGCAACTTTTTCAGTGACCGCGTGCGCACGCGCGGACAAGTAGCAGCTTCTTGCGCCCACCTCTGTAACGAGCGAGCACACCATGTTCAAATCAGCCAATGGCTGATAGATGGGCTTGCTACGTGTGATTTTTGGGCATATTGCGTGATTTGTCGAGAGAAGAGAAAGCAATTTTTAGCTGACTTTGATAATCTATTTCATTGATTCGACTGATATGTGGGGTTTAACGTCCCAAAACCACCACGATTATGGGAGACGCCGTAGAGGAGGGCTCCGGAGATTTCGACCACATGGGGTTCTTTAACATGCACCCAAATCTGAGCACACGGGCCTACAACATTTCCGCCTCCATCGGAAATACAGCCGCCGCAGCCGGGATTCGGACCTGCGACCTACGGGTCAGCAGCCGAGTACCTTAGCCACTAGACCACCGCAATGGGTTTTGATAATCTATTGTGAATTCGAGGACGCGTGCTGCACTATATTAATTGGCTCACCTGCTGTCGGGAGCCTCTACTACCTATCGGCAGCGTTTTCTGACCATGCTCAAAAAGTGTAGCAGGGCCCCTTTAAAGCTAAACCGGTATGATTATCTTGGCTTTTAAGATACCGGCACAAATATTCCAGCGTTGAAGTTTACTTTGGCAAGAATTGTAAATTTCTGGAATTTCGAAGTATTGGAAGTGAATGAAAGATGTAATTAATCACATGTAACCTGCCCGAAATGTTCGTTTCGCTGCACTGTAAGGCCACTATGCCAAAAAGCCAACTAATCAGAGAAAATCTGCGCCGCCGTGAAGCTAAAATTCACAACATTTTTTTTTTTTTGAAGCTTAATACCTTATTATATAGGTTTATATGAATCTGTCCCGCAATGAATCCAAAGAAAACATAAGGGACACATTTATTATTGTTTTTTAAACTGCAGTTTATTAACCAAAACATGAATTGAAAGAAATTAGAGTGGACAAGAAGGCACCAATTTCATTGGTAACATTGATACACCTTTCCCCAAACCGCCGAAAATAACACCCCATTTTTTTACAGAAGTTTCCAGCCTATGGCACGCCAACGTGTGAAACTCACAGCACAAAGCTTGAGTCTTACCATCTCTGCAAGCACAGACAGTGATTCAGCTGTATTACTTCCCTCATCGACAGACAGAACCATGCATTAGAACATGTACCATACATAAAGTGAAACGCAATGTGCAAAGACCGGATGAGAACGCCCAGTAAGTATGATTACCTTATCGACATTAACCGTCACTAATAGTCGTATAATAATGCTGGAATATTTCAAACCCATACACTTATCTCAAATTGTTCTTTACTAATTGCAACCAGACAATGCCATTTTCAGACCAGCCTTCCACACATTGCACAAACGCCATAAAGCTGTATAACCCGAGTGTATTCCTGCAAATACTCCTTGTTAGAAGATTTATTTTCTAGACCTGGCACAACATTGGAATGACCTTCCCCCACCTCCCTCTACACACACACACACACACACACGCGCACACACACACACACACACGCACGCACACGCACAAAGGCACGCCTACGTTACCACATGACAACAAGTGTAGACCAGCTGTAAGGAGCTCTTGGTACTCACCCTATTAAGGGGGGAGGCTACCCTGGAGACCGAACTTTTTTATTTTTTAAGATATCTGGATGAAACTTTCAGAGGTTGTTCACTACAATAAAACTAGCACAACTGCTAAGTTTCACGAAGCTGTGTTTCTTAGTTCCAGAATTATTGAGGTTTAGCTGGGTGCTTCACATGGGTGCCTGAGGAAGAGTCGTGAGAAATCCCAGAACATAGTAGAAAGCTAAAATTCAGTGTGGTCATTCCTTGATAGCTATCCCAGGGCGCTACAAAGCCTTTTTTTTATATTTCCCTCCCCAAAAATTTTCACGGAACTTTGAATTTGATGTAATCAGTAATGACCAGATTCATCAAAAATTTGTTTATTATAAATTAACAGCACCAATTTTCAAAAAAAGGAGCTTGTTACGCCCTTGCAAGGTCATTCAGGAACAGAATAAAAAAACGGCACACAAATCCGATGAACGGTTTTCGAGTTCTTGCTTTCCTCAGCACCACAACTAGCGAAAAAATCCGTTCTGAGAAAACAGGCCGAGAAAGTTCAAAACACGTGTTTTCTTCAAAAAGCTCCAGCACAGTAGCTAGAAGTGTCCTGGCGCACTCTTTTCTTCTTTTGCCTGGCCTCCATCTTCTCTTGGTGTCTTTTAGAATTCTTTTTTAGGCGTAAAGCGTCTTTTTCACAAGCTCGCTGGATGGCCAGATGACCTGGTTGAAGTCCAATGGAGTCCGATATCACTTGGGTTGCTTTGCAGCAGCCGGCATTGTAGCGCAGCACTGCTTCATGCAGTGCTGTTTCTACAGCGATCAAGGATGAGTGTTGTTCCTTCGGCATCAGAGACCACAGAATGGAGTGGAATGATTCTGATGCATTTTGCGTCTTCGCTCCCAGGCAGCGCTAAAGAAGCGACTTTTGTGACAGTCTTTCGTAGATGGGCAGCATAGCTGCAGCGACATAGTCCGGTAGGCTGTGTTTATGTTTTGGCTGAGGCTCACGCTTTGCCTCTGCAGCTCTATGGCGGCACCACGATTGAGCCCCCTCTGGGCAAAGTTCATGATGAGGGTCCTGGTCAGTCGATGTGACGTGGTGATATGTTGCCATCACTGCACGCTGCATGGCTGTTAGGTCAGTTGAATTGTTTCTCAGGGCCCAACCATAATATCCTGTCAGCTTTTCAATGAGGGCTTTAGTCAGCTTCTCCTTCGCACTCAGTGGCTTATCACTTTTCTGCACAATGTTTCGAAGAGCACTTCCACTCCTTTTCTGAACATGGTTCAGACATTCTTCTTTTACAATTGGCACTAGCCCGTACACATTCTCTTCTGTGAGGGCAGCGAAGGTACGGCTGTCTCCGTCGGACACAAGAGTGGTGTACCGCAGGCCATGCTTGGATACAGACCGCCCAAAGAGAGTCAAGCCTGCCTCCACTTCCATGCTTCCCGATTTTGCGTCTGTGTTTTTCTGGCAAATGTGGTGCTTCTGTCAGCTTTCGTATGCTGCATCTCCAGGTTTGGGCCCCGTTTAGCATCCAAGGCAGTGATTTGAAAGAACTACAGCATCCAAGATGAGACCTGTAAAGAAGTCAATTACCGATCCCACTCCGATGTGTGATGTGTGACCCCGCTTATGCCATGTGCCATCGTACACTACGGTGATGTCCTTGCAGAAACTGGGGTCCATTTCTTTATATGTTTTGATCACTGCTGTGGCAGAATCAGCATAAAACTTCTCCAAAGCGGTGGCCTCTGGCTTCCTGAACGTCTCTTTCAAGTGCTTTTGAAACGTCTTGTGGTGAAGACCTCTGTAAGAGACCTTCGTGGCAGCCCAAAAGTCATTAAGAGCTGTTTGCCCCTTGCCTATTTGCTTTATAGCCATTATGGCGCGGACATTTACATCGAAGGCCTGCTTGTTTTTTTTGCGGGGTGATGTCCATAATTTATCGACGGTGCCACAAGAGGCGCACACGACTTCAAGTTTTGTTGCAAGTCCAAGCTTGGTGCTCTCTCGGACAGTCATAGCACCTTTCAAACCTTCTTTGCACACTGTGCGGCTGAGCACGACGTTAAAGATGTTCATTTGAACGAGCGAAAAATGTTCGCCCTCACTTGTCACTGCAGGTGCAAGAGCCGGCTGCATCAGTTGAAATTTATTCTGCGTCGCCGGGGTAGACTCGAGTTCAGCGCGAACGGCGTCACGACGTTTCGCATTCGCATCGATTTCTTCCTTCGTTAGGAAACGCGTCCGCAGATGAAGCGACGGTCCACTCACACTCGATGGCGGCACCGATTCAGACGAAGTGCTGGGTCCGGCGATATCAGAAGCACTCGGTGTCACACTGGATGGCATCGATTCGGAGCACGTGTCAAGCCCGGCGATCTCGGAAACACTCGGTGCATTTGCGGCTCCAGCCACACTCGATGTGTCGGATTCTCGACTGGCGACAGCCAACAACACAGTTCCGTCGCTGCAAGCGTCTACGCAGTCAGCACCCGCAGCAGAATAGCGGAATTTCGATGATCGTACAAGCCGCATAGCGCGCCTCCGCGCACCGGACTTCCGCACTGACTTCGGCTTCGTTGCCGGCATCGCCCGCAACAACAAAGACGAAAGGCACAGAACTAGTGCAAAAAGAAAAAAAAAACGAGAGAAAATGATCGAAAAGATAGCACAAGGCGAAGAGCGGCTCGTAAGCAGACGTCTGTCAAGGCGGACGGAGCAGAGAGCAACGACGGAGCAGAGAGCAACAACGAAGCGAGCGCGCTGGACGTGCCATCGAGAGGAGCGAC